ATGACTAGCTGGGAGTCACCCCAGACATCGAGGCGTCGGATGCCCAACTCGATGGCGATGCGTAGGCCGTTGACGAGCGCCTCATATTCGGCCACATTGTTGGAGGAGGGGAAATGGATGCAGACCATGTACCTCATGCATACCCCAAGGGACAAAACGAAGACCAGCCCTATGCCGGCGCCTTTCTTCATCAGCGATCCATCGAAGTACATCGTCCAGTACTCTTGGTCGACGACCGCTGGTGGCATTTGGACCTCGGTCCACTCTACAACGAAATCAGCCAGTACTTGGGACTTGATGGCCATCTGAGAGGCATACGTAATGCCTTGACCCATCAGCTCGAGTGCCCACTTCGCGATCCTTCCCGTGGCATCCTGGTTTTGGATGACCTCGCCGAGGGGGAAGGATGTCACGACCGTCACCGGATGTGACTCGAAGTAGTGGCGCAGCTTCCTCTTGGCGATGAGGAAGGCATACAGGAGCTTCTGGATTTTGGGGTAGCGGGTCTTGGATTCAGACAGGACCTCGCTAATGAAGTACACTGGGCATTGTACTTTGAGGGTGTGTCCCTCTTCTTCTCGCTCAACCACCAGGGCGGCGCTGACCACTTGCATGGTGGCCGCAATGTAGAGCAGAAGCGGTTCTCCATCGATTGGAGGAACCAGGATCGGGGCCTTTGTCATGTGCCGTTTGATCGTGTCAAGCTCCTCTTGGGCCTCGGGTGTCCAATCGAAATGGTCGGCCTTCTTCAGAAGCCGATAGAGGAGGAGACCTCGTTCGCCGAGGCGTGAGATGAAGCAGCTGAGCATGGTGAGGCACCCTATAACTCGTTGTACCCCCTTCATATTCTGAATCGGGCCTATCCTTGTGATGGCCGAGATCTTCTTCGGGTTGGCTTTGATGCCGCGCTCGGAGATGATGAAGCCCAGCAGCATACCCCTTGGGACCCCAAAACACATTTCTCGGGGTTGAGCTTAATGCCATTTGCTCAGAGTTTTGTGAAGGTCTGCTCAAGGTCGGCTATGACCTGGTTAGCTCGTTTAGACTTGACCACGATGTCGTCCACGTATGCCTCAATGGTTCGCCCGATGAGGTCTCTAAAATACTTGAGCATACAACGCTAGTATGTCGCCCTAGCGTTCTTCAGACCGAATGGCACTGTGACGTAGCAGAACGATCCGAAGGGGATGATGAAAGATGTCATGAGCTGGTCAGACTCTTTCATCATGATTTAATGGTACTCGGAGTACGCATCAAGGAAGCAAAGGGTTTCGCACCCTGAGGTAGAGTCGACTACTTGGTCTATGCGTGGGAAAGGAAACAGATCCTTCGGACACACTTTGTTGAGACCCGTGTAGTCAACACACATTCTCCATTTCTCACTCTTCTTTCGTATAAGAATGGTATTGGCTAACCACTCGGGGTGGTACACTTCCTTGATGAACCCAGCAGCCAAAAGTTTCAAGATCTCCTCGCCGATGGCTCTGTGTTTCCCCTCGTCGAAGCGACGTAGGCGCTGCTTCACCGGCTTAGAGCCTAGCTTGATCTTCAAGGTATGCTCGGTGACTTCTCTTGGAATGCCTGGCATGTCCTAGGGTTTCCACGCAAAGATGTCTCTGTTGGCGTGGAGGAAGCCAACAAGTTTACTTTCCTATTTGGAGGAAAGCGTGGTGCCAATGCGCACCACTTTGCCCTCAGGGTTGCTGGGGTCTATGAGGACCTCCTTGGTGCCCTCCACTGGCTTGAAAGACCTAGCCGACCGCTCAAGGTTGGGTGCTTCTTCGGTGACCTCCTTTCTGATGGCCACGAGCTCTTTGGAGGCGACGATTGCCGCGGCGTGATCACAGCACTCAACCTCGCACTCGTAGGCGTGCTGGAAGGAGATGTCGATGGTGATGACCCCGCCTGGGCCTAGCATCTTTAGCTTTAGGTAGGTGTAGTTGGGGATGGCCAAGAACTTGGTGTAGCCTGGTTGTCCTAGGATGGTGTGGTTGGTTCCATGGAACCCTACCACCTCGAAGGTGAGGGTCTCCGTCCTATAATTGGACGGATCCCCAAAGGTGATGGGCAAATCGATCTGCCCAAGTGGCACGGTCTGCTTTCCAGGCATGATGTCGTGGAAAGGCGCTACGGTCGGTCAGATGCGCGCTCGGTCGATGCCCATAGCGTTGAGCGTCTCAGCGTACATGATGTTAAGGCCGCTGTCTCCATCCATTAGTATCTTGGTGAGCCGTTTCATGCCGACGATCGGGTCAACCACGAGCAGGTATCTCCCTGGTTGTAGGACGCTCTCCGGGTGATCGGTCCGATCGAAGGTTATGGCGGACTCCGACCATCGGAGGAAGATAGACGCGGCCGGCTCGGCCATATTGACCTTGCGATGCGCGAGCTTCTAACGGCGCTTGGAGTTGTAGGCTACCGACCCTCCAAAGATCATGAGGCAGCCATCCGGCGTCGGAAAGCTATCGTCCTTCCCCTCGGCATCGTCCACGGTTGGGTCGGGGTCCTTCCCATGCTCCCCTTTGTTGGAGCCCCCAGACAAGAACCGCTTCATGAGGTCGCAGTCCTTGTACATATGCTTGACGGGGAAGGCAGGGTTCGGGCATGGCCCCTCGAGTAGCTTCTCAAAGTGGTTTGGGGTCCCCTCTACGGGCTTCTAACCCCCCTATGGTCGATGGCGGCCACGAGCGAGCCCACGTGCCACTGCTTGTTCTTCTTCTTGATGGGATGGTTGGAGGCGCCTTCGCCGGCGTCCTTGTCTCATTTTGCCTTGCCCTTGAGGCGGTCGAAGATCGCTCCAACCGCCTCCTCACCCGAGGCGTGGCTGGTGGCAATGTTGAGGAGCTCCTTGGTGGTTCACGGGCCCTTACATCCTAGCTTGTGAACTAGGGACTCGCAGGTGGTCCTAGACATGAAAGCTCCTATAACATCGGCATTGACGACGTTAGGCAGCTCATTGCATTGCCGGGAGAAGCGCTGGATAAACCCACGAAGGGTTTCCCCAGCCTTCTATCGGTAGTTTTTGAGATCCCATGGGTTCTCGGGGCGCTTGTACGTGCCCTGAAAGTTCCCTACAAAGATCTCTTTCAGGTTCGCCCAACTTTGGATTCTGTTGGACGGAAGGTGATCCAACCATGTTCGCGCCGAATCGGCCAAGAACAATGGAAGGTTGCGGATAATGAAATTGTCATTATCCGCCCCACCGGCTTGGCAGGCAAGCCGATAATTCTCGAGCCACAGTCCGGGGTTTGTTTCTTCAGAGTATTTTGGGATGTTGGTTGGTGGTCGGTACCTTGGCGGGAAGGCGGCGTTGAGGATGTGTCGGCCAAAGGCCTGAGGCCCCGATAGGTCGGGGCTCAGGCTTCGTCCTCACCATTGTCGTAGCGTCCGCCATGACGAGGGTGATAGCCGTGGCTAGCTCCCTCTCTCGGCTTGTCGCGGGTGTGTCTGCGGGCATCGAGGGTGTCACGTGCGTCACGGTTGCGACCGAGACGCTCATGCACTGGGACCGCGATGCGTTGCCTATGGCCTTGTGGCGCCTGGTGGACCGATGCATCCTTGTTTGGTCGCTCTGAGGGTGTGCGCTGGCTAGCATCGAGCTCACGTCGCCGAGACAACAAGCTCTCGACCTGCTGCACCGCCGCATGCTCAAGCAGCATGTGAATCTCGCGGTGGGCCCGACGATCCTTGGGCATCGTGGGCCTCGGAAGCCCACAGAGCAAGGCCGCCACAACAGCAATGTTCTGTCTTGCCCGAGCGAAGTGTGGGAGGGCTTCATCATCCGTGATGATCCTCCGGTTCATGTCGCGGGCCATGACACGCGCGCGCCCACTGTCTCCATGGCGCTTGATCTCCCGATCGAGCTCCACGCGTTCCTGCTCGAGCTAGAGTCGTGCTTCCTCGAGCTCTAGGTGCCGGGCCTTTAGTTGCTCCACCCGCAGGTGGGGTGGGGCCCCCGTCTCCCCCTCGACCTCGTCGTCGAGGTCGTTCATTGGGGTAGCCTCCTCTTCGTGGATGCTTTCGACGTGTCCCTCGGGGGTACCTGCCATGAAACACTCACGAGAGGGGTGATGACTCCCCCTGCTGGAGTCAGAGTCAGAGGGCGACTCTGACTCTCCCACGAGGAGGTCGTGGAAAGACTCCGTGACATATTCGGTCATCCCCACGAACTCATCGTTCGCGGGGACACAGAGGCGTGCATCGTGCCACAAGGTGGCCAACGGCCTCTGCGGCGTTGTGGAGGCCGAACGGGAGCGCTGTCTTGAGGACAGGAATAAAGTTGACGTTGCTCATCGGTGTTGGGTTCGATTCCAAACACCAGGAAATTCGTGAAAAGGGTGGTGGGCGGGCGGTGCTAGTGCGGAGGCAACGATAGCGTGCGGGGTGGGCAGTGGTGAGGAGGGGAAGAAGAGATAAGGCTGTCTGCTGGGGTTTACTGATGGCATGTGGTGTTCAAGGAACTAGTTAACGGTGACCAAGTTTATTGAAAAATATATTGACATCTACAATACCAGATAAATGCATTATCAAAACATATTTCATGGTGGATTTAATGAACTATTTTGATGTTGTTGATTTGGTGCATTTTTCTATGAACTTGGTCAAAGAAGTTAAACTTACGGCAAAACTAAAATCTCCTAAATTTGGGAACAGAGGGTGGATATACTACCATGCTGCTTATAGTTTAGGTATTGGGAGCCAGGAGTAGTTGATTTGTGAGTATGTTTCTAACTACCAAATCCTGGTGGCACCCTTACACACATGCGGGTCAATTTAGTGGTAAAGAATGTTCCCTTGTATGTGTTTAGTTTTCTGATTAGGGGCATGCATGGATTGGTGAGCATGTGTAGTGGCGAATGTGTGTTTGCATCTTTAATTGCCAAGAAAAAGTTTGCTATTTGGGTTAACACTAATAACGAATAAAGGGGGTGAAATGGACTTCAGTTCACCTGACTCCATAGTGTATGTTGTTACCTTTTGTGGTTATGCTATGCACCACTATGTCCATCGGTAAGCTTCATGTGGAATGGGTCATCCATTTTCTTTCTTCCTTGAGATTTGCAAGCTGAATCACTGGATCATTTTTTATGATAGGAATTCTCTCTTTTGAATGAACAAAATGTTGCAAACCTTGTTCCACTCCGGTTGATACAAATCCCAAGTTGTCTGCTGCTGAAGTGCTCCCCTTGTCAATGGGACTGATTTTCGAAGCCTCACTGGTGCTCTCCAGTATCTCACCTTCACTCGCCCAGATATTGCCTATATTGTTCAGCAGGTCTGTCTCCACATGCATGATCCTCGAGAGCCACATCTTGCTGCTTTGAAGCGCATTCTGCGGTATATTCGTGGCACTCTTCACTTGGGTTTGCTTCTATGGCCCTCTACTCAGTCGGATTTGCTGGTCTACTCCGACGCTGATTGGGCTGGCTGCCCAGACACCCGAAAGTCCACTTCCGGGTATGCGGTCTTCTTGGGCGATAACTTGGTCTCCTGGTCATCCAAGCGTCAGAATGCAGTCTCTCGCTCGAGTGCCGAGGCCGAGTATCGGGCGATTGCCAATGCCGTTGCCGAGGTCTCTTGGTTGCGCCAACTCCTTGTTGAGCTGCACGTTCCTCTGCGTCGCACCGCCCTTGTTTACTGTGATAACATCAGCATTGTTTACATGTCTTCGAACCCCGTTCAGCATCAGCGCACCAAATACGTGGAGATTGATCTACACTTTGTTCGTGAGCACGTTGCTACCAATGATGTCCGCGTTCTTCACGTTCCGATGAGCTCTCAGTACGCTGACATCTTCACCAAAGGCCTGCCTTCTTCGGTGTTCATGGAGTTCAGGTCCAGTCTGAACGTTCAGGCTGCCGACGATTAGACTGCAGGGGAGTGTTAGATATGTATGTGCTGTGTGCATGTGTATGGGCCTCCTGTGGCTGTGCGCCAGGCCCAGGCCGACTTTCTGTCATGCCTAGATAGATTAGGATAGGCAGGTTATCCTTGATTGGTTCTATTTCTATAAACCTCTCCCAAGGGTTGCCTATATATTTGTATACCTTGTATATCCTAATCAATCTACTATTCTACGCAATCTCTATTGCTCTCATTCAGTGGTACTCTATGGCTCATATCTTTCATTAAATAAAATCAGTACTTATGCTGTTAGCTTATGTGTTTAATCCTATCAGGCATTTATGTGATTTTAACATGTTGACATCAATCATGCAGGTCCATCTTATAATTGATATGAGGTACAAGTTCATTACTTGGCCCTGCGGAGTGCTTAACTCATATACATGCTTTATTAAAAACATTGATAGCTATCCGTGATGGTGGGCAAAATGCTGATGGAAAGCCACCAGGACGCGAAGTGTTTTTCATTGAGGTTGGTATTTACATATTTTACACGTGATATAATTTACTGTGTCTTGTGATATTTTATTTATACATTCAAGGTTTCAATGACTGAATAAGAGAGTTCTTTGGTGCAGTTTCTTTTTTTTTTATTGGTTGAACATTTTGATCTCAGAGTGAGACATTAGAAACCTATCAGTCACAATAAATCATGTGATTAAATTGGCTGTCATTTCTTTAATCTTGAAATATTCACTGATCAAGGGAAGCACAATTATTTTGGTTGGCTTTTAATTTCAGTCAGTGAGGGGCTTACATGTTTTATCCTCCAACTGACTGATAGATATGTTCCCACTATCTGCCGAACCAGGACATCATATTTGACTTGGTAAATAAGGCTACAGAGATAAGTTCCGTAGATTGGTTTTCTCGCGTCAAGCTCATTGATTGTGTCTCCTCCTTTGTTTGCCTGTTCCCTGATGTTGCCCAGGTGATTCTTATATCTTGCTTTTATCAAGAGAACTGCCATTGAAATGTACTCCATTACATCAGTAATTTAATATCATTATTATAATTGCAGGATATGATCGGATGTTTGCTTGACATGCTGCATGATGCTGATTACCGTGTCAGGTTATATTTGGCTAGGCAAATTGTCGTGTTATTCCAAACATGGGAAGGGCACAATGAATTATTTAATGATGTTTGGTAGGTATTGACAACTATAATTTGATGGTTTTGTGTTAACTTTTAGAAGTGAATTAGATATTCGTATGATGAACACTTATGACTCATTACCAGTCATCTTAAGCATGTAATTTAGAGAGTAGGTTTAGCCTTTTCCAAACCATGATATCACCACAAAGCTAAAAAAATGCCAATCCAGTTAGTGCTAACAGGTACCTGTAATAGTTGACTGCTCTACATGAAAGGAGTTTTGCTCAGTTTTCTCGATAATATTCTGCAGCTAATCACTACTAATTTCCTAGAGCTAAGAAAGGTTCCTTCTGAAAAGGTGCCAGGTGGACATTCATTTGACGTTTTAATATTGTATTCGTTTTGTACATAGAAGGTAGAAGGTAGAAGGTAGAAGGTAGAATGTAGGGGATTGCTGGAACTTAGTATCGTCCCTGTCCCCCACATCTGGACAAGGCTAACTTAGAGAAGTGCACACAGATTTATCTTGGCGAATCTAAGTGAGAACTATCATTTAAATATTTATTAATGTTATATATTTACATTTTGAAATTTATTATTTAAAGCACGGACTACTTTACTTTTGCTATCATTTCCTTCAATGAAATGGCAGCTTGTATTCAGGATATTTTCTTGGATCGACGATATAAAATTTTGGGTAAATCTATTGGTTTATGTCTTGGGCAGTCTGTTAGGCCTTATGGGCTGGGTCAGTAGTATGAGAGGCCCATTTGGGTTAGGGTGAAAGATAAAATTAGCCATCCTGCTTAGGAGTCGAGTAAACCTCGCTATATAAAGAGAGGAGATGTATCAATAAGGGAGCCAAGTAAGAGATCAATCTATTTTCATCTTCCTGTCGCTAGTTCCTAGAGCGTCATCGCTGGCCCATAACCTGCGGCCTACTGTTTAGGACCACGTCGAAGTTATCTATCCATCCAACCCCCACCTCCATTACATTTATCTCCTAATTTTCTGTACAAGACTGAAGTGATAACTGATAATGGATCATACTTGTGACATTTAACTATTAGTACTCTTTAGTGCGATTGTTAGCTTAACAATGTTTGCCAATATCAGCTCAAGCATTGGTGCCAAGATGGTGAAGTTCTCAGATATTTCTCCAGTTACAGCTAGAGAAGTCTTGGCTGCTGGTCCACAATCTGTTCCCGTAATTGAAACTGCTCTCATTACACTAGCTCATTTGGTTGTGCATAGCGAGGATGTTGAAGTTGAGGTATGTCCTTGTGGTCACCCCTTGTATTGTGCAACAGAAGCACAGAACTATTTGCTAGTCTATTGTGTATAATTGATCTTTTTCTCTGCCAATTGTTTTTGGTATGGAAGGAAGCTTTAACGTTAGTTTCAATTTTGATATATAATGTTATATTACAACAGCTAGCACTGTGTGTGTTGAGTTGGCTATGTGGCCTTTTGGTGTTTTGTTTTATAGGATTTCATATGCAGCATACATAAGTAATTTTATGGGAACCATGACACTAGGAGAGGTGCTGGCCAAACATTTGTATGATCTTTTCACTTTTTTGGTTCCCGTAGCAATGCATGGGCTGCCTACCAAAAGAAAAAGAATAGAGAAGTTGGTTGTCAACAGTATTCAACTTTGTATAGATACTCTAGTGTCACTTAGCAAGAACCCAGTTGGATGCAAGTAAGAGAGATGCTTGCTGAACATTTGTATGCTCTTTTCAGTTTTCTCTCTCTGTGTTCTGTTTAACTCTTTTCAGTTTTTTCTCTCTGTGTTCTGTTTAAATGGTGGGCCTGGTGCAGTGGTAGTGTATCTCCACTTGTGTCCTGGAGCCTGGAGGTCTCCGGTTCGAATGAGCCTCCTTGCCAAAATAAGCAAGGGTAAGGCTTGCTTGATGTTCCCTTCCCCAGACCCCACCTTATGTGGGAGCTTTCAGCAATGTGTATGCCCTTTTATCTGTTCTTCTGTTTCTCAGTGCTCTCTCAAGTAGGTCTATGCGGCACGCTGCTGGCACTCCACTACCCCTTAGGACAACTATTGGCACCGACCCAACCCACTTTTTACTATACATGTTGTCTGCGGTGATTAAGTTTGAAGTGTTTCTTTCCTATTTTTGAAGACAATCTCTGTTTCTGGTATAATACGTGTTGTCTCTAGGTCTCACTTACATTGAATTGTTTCAGAAGTATTGGGTATTGGTTCAATCAGTGATTTATACTATATGCTTTGTGCAGTTTATATTTTAGTTGTTCAATCAACTGAGTTTTGTGTCCTCTAACTTTTGATGTTGCAGTGTGTGTTCATGATTTCTGCTGCTGCTGCTATAGAGCCTTCTCAGCGGTATTTTTTCACAAGCAATGAACTATGTTTATGTTGGTGTACATAAATATTTTTTAAGATTAATAAATGGAAACTGATTTGATGCTTTCTTTACTTTTATGGTTACTTCCTTTTCAGAGAATTAGCTTTTGCGTTATTTGATTCCATTTCAAGGAGGCTCGGTTATGCTTCAAGAAGCAAGGTGACTGGACACTTTTGTAGTTTATAGTGTGCATAGTTTCTGTTTGCTGCTTTTCATAGTGTGGCAAATGTGCCAACTGAATCTGAGATAATTTCTTATAATTATTGTAAAAGAGAATGATTTGCTTTGACATATTATAATTTACATATTTTGGTTACCTCTCTGGTATGCAGTATCTGGACCAAGTGATGGGCCCGATTCTTTTTCGATGGGTTGCTTGTGAGATGAATCTAGTTTCACTTGTTGAGGTAACATTTAGTTCTAATGCTTCTGAATATGTTTCTGATATCATCATAGATTCTCCCTCAAAATTTCGTTCAAAAAGGATTCTCCCTCAAAAAACGAAAAATGTCAGCATGGATTCTCAATATGATTTTAAGGTTTCTCTGTGGACTGCTATAAATGATCCTCTTTGTGAGATTTGCCTAACTCAATTCATATGATGCTTTTGATTTTTTTTTAAGAAAAGAGTAACCTCTGCTTTTAAGAAAGCGATAAGATTCACCAGGAATGGCTGGGGTTGCCAGCTTACAAAAGCACTCAGAAACTTATCCAACAGCTATCCTATTACAATTAGATTTCACTAATATCAGACACGTCCAAGGTCGATGGGCTGAAGCCCTTCATCCAACAGAGGACGATCCCCATGATCTCTTCAACTCGATCCTTGTCCTTTGGCTTGAGCTGGATAGACCACCCTGAATGTTTGATAACTTTTAGCCAAAAAATGCTTGTTATGCATGGCCCAGATGTACAGTGTAGGTCAAAAGGGTCAAATCTCTAATGCCTAGCCTTTCAGCTGCAAACTAGATTGCTACTTGTATTTTCTGTATTGGCTGCAATTTGATTTAAATTGTCGTACTAGGGAGTGAAAATTATGAAAAATATCAACATTCTGAAGTTTTGGAAAGACAAATCATTTTTTTGAAGTGTCCAATATTTTTTCTGTTCCACAAAAATACGTTTCTTCACTCACTTTTTTCTGGGTGTACGTTTCCATGACCTCTGCATTGGGTGCTCTTTTTTCCTTTACTCTTAGAATAGCTGAAAATTTTTGGAATCAAAGGAACCAAACTATTTATGCTTGATCTCATGATGTTATGTTGGAACCAGCCAAAGGATCAAAACTCACGTGAGACCTAACTCTGCATTGGTGCTCTTTTTCCTTTACTCTTAGAATAGCTGAAAAAAATTTGGAATCAAAGGAACCAAACTATTTATGCTTGATCTCAATGATGTTATGTTTGATGAACCATACTTTGCCAAAAATACTTAATTTAGATCAAAACTCACGTGAGACGTGACAAACGCTAGCACTCTGACTAATATAGATGCTAACTGCTGGCTAACTCTGTTCACACGCACGTGTACACACATACAACTCCCACCTTAAAAAATTGAACGGTGCAGAGTCTTTTGAACTTGAAGGGCCGCTCAAGAGAGACAGAGAGTGCGTTGCGGCACACACACCTTTTTTTGGTTTTCTGCTACTAGTGACTACACACTGACAATGTGAAGCTAGCTAACAACTTGATATACATACTAGATCCACTAACACATGCATGTACTAACTAATCAAACTCCTAACCACCTGGCTAGCATTTTGACTCATGTGTGCACATGACTAGATTACGGCCTCAACGTCAACACATCACATTTTCAGCCACATGCTCATGCAACATGTCTAACAAGACGATGTGATTAAACACATCTATCCTGCACGCAAAACTCAAAACACATACAAGTCAAAATTAGTGCTGATATGTTGTCCATAATCTAGTAAATTTTTTTGTTACTATATTTAAGGATTGCCATTTTTTTGTTTTTCTGTATTTAATCTGTAATGTCCAATATTGCTAATGCAACAGGTGCAAGAAATGTTTGGTTATGGGTCTGCTGAGCCAAAGAACTTTGTTGAACATTGTAATTCATGGCTTCTCCCTTTCCTCATTCTCAGGGGTGATGGTGCTGATATGGATTAAGTGGCATGGCTGCATGGGAGGCCAGACCTGTTTGGCAGGGCTCCGGCTCTCCACTCCCCCCTGTCGGCCGCCCACGGACCGATAGGTGCCAAGCGGAGCCGGAGCCGTGGAGCCCAAAAACGAGCTTCTCCGGCTCCGCCTGTGTTTGTGAGAGAGGAAAGGAGGAGAGAGAAAAACAGCTCCGATGAACAGTAGCCCCTGTGTCGGCCCGTGGGAAGCCGACAGGTGAACAGGGGCGGAGCGAAGATGGCCGCAGCCGTGCCAAACAGGTCCAGCTGCCAATGGCTTCAATCACACTTCTTAACTGTGAGGGCTAGTGGGCTAATCTGCTCCACGCCGCCACCGCCCGCGTGTCTCTTCGCCGCCGCAGCGTGCGGCTGCGGTTGCTGCCTCCCCCGCTACCCACCGGTCGCCTCCTCGTACGTGGGCACACCGCCGCCGTCCGCGCGCCTCCTCGACGCCACGCGCGCGGGGTTCTGATTGCTGCCTCCCGCTGACTACTTGGTCTAGGGGGTTTTGAACCTTAGGTGACATAATTAATAAGTTTTAAGGATCTAAACATGTATTTGGAAGTTTGGAGACATAGATGACGTTTTGAGCCAAGATTGAGGACAAGGGTTGCATTTTAGCCTGCATATGATGTCTATGTCAATGGCTTAGGGTGGCAAACTCTATATTTGTTGCAATTGCTCAACAAAACATTTCAGGTAAATTTAGCCCTAGTGTTAAAGTATTTTTACTTCTTTCTTTTCTTTCCTTTTTTCCTTTGTAAGTGGAATGTAAATTACATTAACTCAAATGCCGCTAGACCGTGCACATCTAGATAGTTCATACAACACAGTTAAGAAAAGACCGTAGTATAAAGGTATACCATGTCGCATGACACTCTAGACAGTTAATGTATATGCCACTAAATTATATTGTGTAGGGTTAGAAGATGAAAGGAAACTAAGACAATACAGATAGTTGTGTTTTTAAATAAAAATATATTCAACTGTTTTCACCTATCTTGGCAAAGCTAGTATATTTTTTCAATCTTCTTTTATTATTTTTCTTATCTTTTTTTCATCAACAGAATAGTTCTCTTTTTCCTAGCTAAGAGCATCTCTCTTTCTTAAACCCACTCTCTAAATCATCATTTTTGCCTAGTGAGAATCTAGTATAGAGGATTATAATATTTGAATATTTAATTAAAGAAGTTGTTAGAAAGGAGTGCATTATATTTATTTCTCCAAGATCTCTATTACTATCAATAAGGAAGGATATAGAGACTCTAGAAGTTGCTCTAAATAAGTGCTCATTCGAATTGAAGTATCAACTTTAGGGTCTATTTGGATCCATTACACTAAAATTTAGCAAGCTAATAGCTGCTATTTTTTAGCTAGCTAATTTTTAGTATGAGGTCGTTTGGACCTGCTAATAGATGGTTGGGTAGTGAGTAGGGCCTTGGATCCATTAACAACTAAAATTAGTACCAGTAGATTTAGATAGACCGCTAATTATTAGTTGAAGGGCTGCTAACTATTAGTTCTATTAACAAGTTGGAGTTGCTAATAGGTGCTAACGGTTGATATGGACCTTCACCTCATTATCCAACCACATATTAGTAGGTGAGTCCAAACAATCCCTCTACTAAAAATTAGCTTAGTAACTATTAACTATTAGCTAGCTAAATTTTAGTGCTAACCATGGATCAAAACTAAGCACTTAAATGTGTATATAATCTGTTAACACCTATTTTTAACTCTAAACCAGCTATAAAACTTGCCATAGAACTACTTCGTATTAGTTAGCAGCCTCCTAACTAATTTTGGCTATATTGTTTAGTGCTATTAATAATGGATCTAAACAGGCCTTAGCAGACCGATCTTGCGGCTATTGGGCCGGGAACCAAGACACGACGACATTAGAGAGTCATACTCTGCAGTTAAGAGAGAGAGAGAGTCATACTCTGAAACGGGAGAGCACTTACTTTTTGATAAAACCCCTGGCCTCTAGAGAAATTGCACACATATTCCCTGCCCCCGCCAGCGCCTTCGGCGAACCTAAGGCTCCCGAGACCACCGCGATGTCCGCCATGGAGACCGACATCAACGCGCCCCCGCCGCCCACCCCCGCCGGCGAGGGATCATCCGCGGCCGGTCCGTCGTCCTCCTCCTCCCGCAAGCCCAACAAGCGCTTCGAGATCAAGAAGTGGAACGCCGTCGCGCTCTGGGCATGGGGTACGTCCGCGCGCCCGTCCATCCGTTCTAGATTTTTCCTTCTTGTAGATTGGAATTTGGATCCCGTCTGATCTGTTTGTCTCCGTTGCGGCGGTGCAGATATCGTCGTCGACAACTGCGCCATCTGCCGCAACCACATCATGGATCTATGTAAGTTTTTGGTCCGATAGGTTCAGTGCTCGTTAGGGTTTGAGATCTATGATTAGGGGTTTGAGCTTCTTAATTCGTTGGGTGCAGGCATCGAGTGCCAGGCGAACCAAGCTAGCGCGACCAGCGAGGAGTGCACTGTCGCTTGGGGTACGAATCCAACCTCCTAGGGTCTTCTTACCTATCTTCTTTGTTGTATCTTACTTTTGTCTATTGCAACTTGCCACTAATTTTATATTATCGGTATGTCTCTTCATGTGGAATGAAAGAATTCGCTATTAATTATTTTGCACACTAGTTTTGGCATGCGGTTGCTCATTGTGGCATCTAGTTTTCGGGAATCTTACACCAATCTATGTGTAACTGGCAACTATGGTTAGGGCATTGTGGCATCTAGTTTCTGGGAATCTTACCCTGTTCGCTTCTCTTATAATCCGTCTTTTTCAGCTTGTTTTTTCAGCTGGAACAGTGTTTTTCTCTCGCAACAAATCAGCCGGTTGCAAAATATATTTTTTCCGTGCTCTTTCCAAAGATTCTACTATGTGATCTTGATTACATTAGTCTGGTGAACTATGCAATTTGAACAATTTGTTTCATATACTGTGACACTGAAGCTGTTATAGTTATAGTCCCATCTCCAAATTTTGATATGGTTGGTGAACTGTATATGAAACAACTGCAGACTGGTTTTTGTTTGACATACCTAATTGCCTCTTTAGATGAAACTTATCCTACTGATTACATAAGCTCAGATTACTTAAACAGTGTTTAAGTGTTTGTATATCTTTTGAGAAAAAAAAAATCAAATTTAACTAGATAAGTGATACATGTGTGTTGAATAACTTACCATTCTCAGACTTGTTATCTGTATAAATCGCAGCATGATTGGCAAATAAAAGTAGAACCTATATCATATCAGTAATTTTCTGCAGCACATCCTGGGATACCAAATTAAACGTATACACTTAATACAATACACTTAGGGTCTGATTGGTTGCCTGCACATCTCCTTATCCAGGGCACCTTAGCGCAAAGACCAGTTGTTTGGTTGTCTGCATATCTCTTTATGCAGCATAGCACTCTCCTTAAAGCATCTTTTGCCTGTACAACCATGTGCGCTCACAGTTGGTCGTATCCACCTATGCAGCCTTGGATTGTGCGGTGCTTGCACCCGCCCTACTGCCTGTTGTACCCGCTTTGCACTTGTGTGCTCACGCCCTTCCTCCTCCTTGCCTTTTCTCTCCACCATGTGCACAGAAGTTATCGAAACCCAGCATCAGGTCTACTTCGTCCTTTAGCCCTAGCACCAGGCTATCGTCGCCATGGATGCGAAGAACTCATGCATCTCCCCGTCGGAGATGTGGCCGTGCGGGTGGCCTTGCCGTTGGCGGGCGGGTGAGGTGTAGGATGGGCAGGTGGCCTTGCAGTTAGCGGGCGTGCTGTGTGGAGCTGGGTTCTGACGACGCGAGTGGTACTCAGGCAGATGAGGAATATCAGGCACACGGGGAGGACAAGCATAGGTTGTGAGCGCGCCGCGTGGGACGAGCTATCGTAGTCGTACTTGTGCTAGCGCCAGCCATTGCCGTTGCCTGCTCTCTCTCTCTCTCTCTCTCTCACACACACACACACACACACACACACACAGTGATGGTAGTAGACTGAGAAGTAGAGAAGATTTTATTGTTTGACTGATTTCACTGATGAGCGGTGGGTGGGGTTGTGAGCGTGAGTGACTGAAGATTGATTTTACTAATGAATGAGCAGCGAGTCGGTAAGTGACAAAGTCACATGGGACTTGCCGGGGGTGACCTGGGTTCCTGCAGCGAAGACGTTCAACGAATTGCCGATGCCTATTTTAATTGCGCAGTGCAACCAAACACAAATGATTAGATACAGCGTACCATTGTACATTCAACCAAACAGAGGCACAAACAATGCAACAGAGTAATTCAGTTTAACCAAACAAGAGCAAATTGCATTCGCTTGTGCAGGCGTAACCTATACTGCATAATCCCTAATGCAATGCAAGTGTTGTGTGAGCAACCAATCAGACCCTTAATGTGTCAGTCCCTGCAGATGCGTACTGCATTCCTATCTGGATTAAGGCCGTTGGAAGCCCATAACAGCATCTGCAGCAGCACTATATGCTCTTTTTGTGCTGTGCTCTTCGCAGCCTCTTCTTGTGTGTTCCTTGAATACTTGAGCAGAGGCCAGTGAACTTTTCACCATATTGTGGTGTTGACAGTAGAAAATAAGCTCACCCATGTTTACAGTTGGAAATGATGACAAATGCTGCTTGATTCATCAAAAATAAAAGGAATGGGAAGCCCAAGCTTGCACATTTTTTGTATTGAAGCTTCTTTATATTTGCCTGTACGAACCAATAGACATTGGAATATGTTGGACCATGTGTTCTACGTGGTTCTTTCGCCCCAGTTTCACTGGGTCTAACAAGGTGTCCTTCACTGGGTCTGACAAGGGTGTTTTAGGTGTACTGCAGGTGTCTGTAATCATGCTTTTCACTTCCATTGCATCAGCAGGTGGCTTAAGACTCGCCAAGTGTGCCCATTAGGTAGCTGCAGTCCTGTGCTGATTTGATCCCATAGTTCATTGTTTTGGGCATTGCATTACTGACGATCAACTTTTTATCTTGCAGACAACAGTGAGTGGGAGTTCCAGAAATATGGCCACTAGTTCCTGGGCACCCTCGTGTGATGTTGGGGCTTGCTTCTGGCTACTCCTGCCACTCAAGTGTTTTTGTCTGCCAAACAGCTCCATCTTTTACTGCTTTGGATGCTTGCATGTATCACCGGTCAATTATCACTAATTGTACGTCCACCTGGGACTCTATTTGGATGATTCGTTAAGAGGATAGTAGGCCCATTTTATCAGTGTTATATGTGGATTTTCATAAGTGAGCTTGAATTGTGCTGTGGTACCATTTTCGAAAGTCTTTTTTTTTATCCGCGTCTGTCTTGATCTTGACTTTGAATGAAGTGGGTTTGTCTTTCGGCTGCCTGTATATAATTGTATATAGGTTACTAAATGTGGCGTACGATATCCTGAAATTATGTTGGGCACTCTATCCTGTCTTGCTAGTGATAACCAGCTTTGGTGATGTCCCCATCATATGTAGCACCTTAGCTTGTGTTTTGTTCTAGGGTTGAAGTGGGTTGAAACGGGTTGAACTTTTTTTTTTTGAGTGTTTGATTGGTTCAGAGAAGAGTGGCCTAGTGGGTTGAGGTCGTCCCATAGAGAATATTGTCTCTAGGGGCCTGTTTGATATGGAGCCCCTGGGTGGCTAAGCCTGATCCAAACGGTACAGGTGATCGTGTTTGATTGTATGTCCGAGCTGAGTTGAGAATGTGTTTGTTTACCGGCACAGAAAGAGTATGGCTACCTTGTACAAGCATGTGGTGGCCTTACCACCACTGCTCTTCTCAGCACTCAGCCATTTCATCGAGCAGGTCATGGACACGAGCTAGTCCAGCGCCAAGAATGGAGAAGCCAGAGGAATCAGGTGTAGAGGTGGTCTTGTCGCGGCGGCGGAGGGTACCACGCGCACGCGCGGCCGGCTCGGCGTGGCGGCGGAGCCTCCCTCGTCGCGCCCTGCTTCGCCGCCAAGGCCGCCTAGAAGGCCTGGTGGTACGCCACCTCCGCCGACCGCGTCCCGTTCTTCGCCAACGACGTCCTCAGCGACGTGCTCGCTTGCTCCCTCGAGATGGCCTCATGGATGTACCGCAGCGCCATCTACCTCCTTACCTGCGTCATCTTCCTCTTTCGCCTCATCTGCCACCACCAGAGGCTCTGGCTCGAGGACTTCGCCGGCTCGCTCCTCGAGGAGGTCGAGGAAGGCTGCGCCGGCGTGGATACCGTGCTCAGAGAGCACCTCGACATCCGCAAGCAGCTCAAGGTCATTGGCCATCGCTTCCGCAAGCAGCTCGACATCCCCGGCGGCGGCTCCACGCGCGCGCGCGGCGTAGCGGAGGACGTGGCGGAGCTCGTCGCAGGAGACGAAGCCGTTCTGGTCCTGGTCGAAGACGCGTAAGGCCTCCCGGAGCTCGTCCTCCTTGGCGGCGGCAGTCACGCACGCACGCAGTCGGCTCGGCGCGCCGGCGGCACGCGCGCGCTCTGCTCGGCGCGGCCACCAACGCGAGAGCAGGACGAGCAGCAGCCACCCCAGCAGCCTTTCCCGCCGCTGACGCTCCCGGCCACGAACGCGAGCGCCTCGTCCGCCGTGTACTGCGGCCGAGCGTCAGCGTGCCTCAGGAACAACATCGCCGCGAGCACGCCCCCGCGCCGGCACCACCGGGTCCAGCTCCACGACCATGGCCGCCGGCTCCACCAGGTCCGGCTCCGCCACCGGGTCCGGCTCCGCCGCCAAGGCCGCCGGCTCCACCAGCAGCACCCGGTCCTTGCGCACCTTGGCGCCATCGAAGCAGTCGAACGCGACGCCGAGGAGGAGGAAATCGAAGGCGTGGCGCGGTGGGTGCGAGGAAGGTAACCGCATCCTTGCGTGGACACTCGAGGCAGCCGGGTTCCAGAGAAACGAACCTTTTTCGGTTTCCCCGGGGGGCAGCTGGAGGGCTGGGCCGGAAGCTGGGGCAGAGGAGCTGGAGGGCGCCGGGCCACCCAAAGGGCCTATAAATTTTTTTATAATAACACTAAATAAAATGGTTAGATAAATACGAGGTGAAGCAATTATTGTACTAGTCTACTAAAAATATAACCCACCTACCACAATTCTAGTAACTACAATCTCTAAGAACATAAAGCTAGGTCATTAACACTAAGTTAGTAAGCTCTTAAAGACTAACTAAAGAGCATCACTAACCACTAGATAAGACACGAGCTAGCTCTCACAACTAATTACACTAAACAACTTAGCTACACTAGAAAATGTAAATACAAGGTAGGGTAGTGATGTTTATACCGCCGTGTCAAAAGAAGACCAATCAATTACAATGAATACCTATGAAATCCCGGTGACAAGATGACACAATGATTTTTCACCAAGGTTCACTTGCTTGCCTACAAGCTAGTCCCCATTGTGACGATTCACTCACTTGGAGGTTCACGCGCTACTAGGCATCACACGCCTAACCCGCAATCGGGTGCCGCACAACGAACACAAGATGAGGATCACACAAGCCACAAGCAATCTATTAGAGTACCTTTTGGCTCTCCGTTGGGAAAAGATCAAGAACCCCTCACAATCATCACGATCGGAGCCAGAGACAAGCACCTTCCTCTGCTCAACGATCCTCGCTGCACCAAGCCGTCTAGGTGGCGGCAACCACAAAGAGAAACAAGCGAATCTCGCAGCGAAACATAATCACCAAGTGCCTCTAGATGCAATCACTCAAGCAATGCACTTGGATTCACTTCCAATCTCACAAAGATAACGAATCAATGTGGAGATGAGTGGGAGTGCTTTGGCTAAGCTCATAAGGTTGCTATGTCAATGTAAATGACCAAGAGAGTGAGCAAGAGCCGGCCAAACACCTTTTATAGAGGCTCCAACGAAATAGAGCCGTTGGGCTCAATAGGCAGCCCAACTTGGGGTGACCGAACGCACAGGTCGCGTTGACCGGACACAGGCCCTCCAGCGTCCGGTCGCGAATCTCCGTCCACGTGTCCCCGTGATTCAATGTTTTTCACACGGATCCCAACGGTCAGATTTTCCTGCACGAGTGCTCAAGTCACGAACGGACGCGGCAAAGGACAACCGGACGCACCGTGCCCGCGTTAGGTCCTCACACGCCCATGCAACACTTGCCAGCGACCGGACGCGCCGATGCGCTGACCTAACTCTCCACCGTGCGACATCAGGTCACTTCCAAAGAGGTTCCAGAGCGCCCAAACCGTGATCGGACGCGTTAGATCCACCTTGACCGGACGCGCCCCTGCGTCCGCTCGCTTCTTCCTCGCCTCCACGCTTACGTCAACGTACGTCACGGATGACCGGACGCACCTCCGTCACGTCAGGTCACTTCTTGCACCTGCGTTCGGTCTTAGACCGAGACCGCACCCTTCACTGCACCATTGACCGGACGCGCAGGTCCAGCGTCCGGTCAAGGCGCGTCCGGTCACTACGTGACCAGCGTTTGGTCAGTGAAAAAACAGGGCCTTCACTTCACTAACTTCTCCACCCTTGCTCAAATGTGCTAACCACCAAGTGTATCACCTTGTGCACGTGTGTTAGTATATTTTCACAAACATTTTTAAGGGTGTTAGCACTCACTAGAATCTAAATGCATATGCAATGAATTAGAACATCTAGTGGCACTTTGATAACCGCATTTCACGACGAGTTTCACCCCTCTTAATAGTACGACTATCTATCCTAAATGTGATCACACTCGCTAAGTGTCTCGATCACCAAACCAAAAAGCTCCTAAGGATATCACCTTTGCCTTGAGCTTTTTGTTTTTCTCTTTCTTCTTTTCCAAGCCCGAGCACTTGATCATTACCATGGCTATCACCACCACCATGATCTCCATCATTTGCTCCACCACTTGGAATGTACTTAACCTATCTCATATTCACTTAGAACACATAGGTTAGTACCTAAGGTTTCATCAATTCACCAAAAGCAAACTAGAGCTTTCAGTAGCGCAGGTGGCCGCGCGTGCATGTTGGAGGTGGTGGGCCGCGTGGCGGCGGCAGACTGTGCATGCGCATTAGAGGCGGCAGTCCGCGAGCAGCGCCGGTGACCGCACGGTGTATTGGAGGTGGGTGAGCCGCGCGGCGGTGGCAGGGTGTGCGTTGGAGGCGGGCGGTCCACGTGGAGCAGCAACGGCCACGCGTGCGCGCTCCCGGCGGCAAGGAAGAGTGACTTGCTGATCCCGCATGTTGATGTTTAATCCATCTTAGCCTAGCACTTCAAGCAAACAAAAAAAATGGCGTGGCTAGCGCCCGGACGTCTACAACATACGTCTGAAATAAGTGAAACATTTACAAACATATGTTTGCAATATATGTGTATAGTAACTACAACATCTAGATAAACACACTTCTAACATACGTCTGAAATAGATGAAACATTTTAAATAGACGCTTACAACATATGTCTGAAATATATGCAACATCCAGATAAAACACTTGCAACATAGGTCTGAAATAGGTGAAACATTTGGAAACATACACTTGCAACATACATGTATAGCCACTGCAACATATACAATATCCAGATAAAACACTTGCAACATACGTTTGAAAACAGTTGAAACATATATTTGCAACATACATGTATAGCTATTGCAACATATGCAACACAAGATCTACTTTTGCAACATCTAGATGAAACATATGCAATATATATATGAAACACATGAAACATACGGTTGCAACATATGATCATCTACTTGCTGCCGCCCAATGGAGGCTAGTTGACGTGGTGCGTGGAAGCGTAGCGCGAGGCGCGGACGGCGCGGCGAGAGGCATGGGCGGGGTGCGCGGCACGAGGTGCGAGGTGCGGGGCACAAGGCGGGGTCCAGTGTGACCATGCGAGGCGTGAGGTGCAGGGGTACACAGCGTGAGGCGCGAGGCACAGGGGCGCACAGCGTGAGGCGCGGGGCGCACGCGGCGTGAGGTGGGTCCGGTGCGACAGTGCAAGGCGCGAGGTGTAGGGGCACGCGGCGGGTCCGTCCTGTCCGACGTCCTGATAGGAGCATTAGCGAAAAAAGGATAGATCTAACCCCAAGGACTGCCATGGACCTTTGGTTTGCATTGTAACAAGGAGGGGACGTGCTCTCTCGCCTCGCTACCATGAACCTTTGTTGACACTGGTCTTACCTAGAAGTGACAAAATGAGTACTCGCTTTTTTGTCAAAAAAGAATGAAAATCTCGATTCCAGATGAGTTAGACAATTTAAAGGTTAGCTAGATTTATAAAAAAATAGCATCAACATCAACATTTATATCTTAAAATAAGCTTATTATAATAAAAATAGATTCAATAATTAATCGAAGAAATGTTAATATTTATATATATACATTTGATTAAATTTAGGGTTGTTTGATTCTTTGGGAGAGGAGATTTCCATTTATTTATTTTTTTGAATCTGATGGGTGGATGAAGTAAATCACAACGTAAGACTTCTGGGGCTCACCAAAAGAGCGCGTTTGGGTCTCATGCTAGTGCTCACCACGCCAAGCGAGAAAATGGAACAAGGTGCAGAGGTGAAGTTGGGCAGGGGCAGCTGTGCCTGAGCATTTCAAAATGCTGTTCAATCCTACATACGGAGTACTATAAAAATTCCACCGAAAGGGATGCATCTAATTCCCACTCGAATTCGAACACTTCATCCATAAAAAAAATCACATGGAACAGATGCATTTTATTCATGTGGAGGCATGATTTACATTCAGGAGGGCGACCTAGATGTCCCCTAATGCTTCATCTAGCTCCTGAAAATCGAACATGGAAACAGGAGCCACACACTTGATATCTTAGAACTCCTGTACACCGTGGTCGTGACAATATGTAGGAGCATATCTACTTATTATTATGCAGGGACAGGGCTCAGGCCAGAAGATGGTTGTAGGCTGGCTGCATATCTCCTCGCCCACAGATCATAATGGATGATCTCCTCGAGTGACGGGCGTGTTACCAACTCGTTCCGATGCGCATCACATGTGAGCTCCACCACCTTGAATATGTCCAGGTAGCTAATCCTGCAAACCAAACGAAAAGGTCAACTGACTTCCTTTGTACGAATATCAAATATGTAACGGATGATTGCAAATTAGTTCTTTTTTCCCTCTGATGAACTGGCTGTAGTTACAGAACTTTCTCCTACTGAACTAATTGTGTAAAACAATGTGCTTATGCCATGATGAAGTTTTCTCCTCTATCAAATTCTGGAGCATGGTGCTTTACCTCAACAAGTTGAGTGTATAAATCAATACCTTCTCATGCAGAGAAAAACCCGTCTCTATGACCGACACTCTATCCCAATAACCAAACCAGCATATTGGCAATAGCAACAGCAGGCAGACCATTGTTAAGATAAAGTACTTAAAAGAGTGAAAAGCACCAGTGCC